CAGAGGTGCCTCTGTGCCCCTGGCAAAAAAAGTGTTCTGCGACCGCTTACTTCGCGTAATGGATGAGCCGCCTCTGCACAGACCATTCTGAACCCCACCAACAATAGAATTGGGCCAAACTTCCCACACGGAACCCCCATGACCACCAGAGTGGGTCACAGCAACACGTGGCAGGGGATGGCTAGTAAATAAAATAAATAAATATTGCCAATCTCTCTTGAGAGTCTGGCTGTTTGCTCTTGTGGCTTCATATCCCAATAGAGTTCCCTCCACATACACACACAGTGAACCAATCTTTGAGTCTCCCATCCAAAAAAAACCTACTGCAGAAAGGAATTAGATCATTTGAATGACATAAAGTGGGTTTCTTCTGCTTTGCCTGCCCTCTTCCTCAAAGGACACCTTCTTCATATTGTCCTTTGGGGAAGAGGGCAGACAGACCCCCACCCACTTCACTCTCATCATCTCCCATGTTGTGAAATACTCATAAACGTGTCTCGCCTGGCTTTGTTTGCTGTCAACAAGAGGCCCGCTAATGAAATATACACTGCAAACAAAGCGATGCTTATCATCATGTACGGCCAGCCAGCCTTCCCTCCCCATCTGAGGCTTCTCTTGGGGTCCTTCTATAGCAGTGTTTCTCAACCTTCCTAATGACACGACCCCTTAATACAGTTTCTCATGTTGTGCTGACCCCCAACCATAAAATTATTATCATTGCTACTTCATAACTGTAATTTTACTACTGTTACTAGCGGTCCCCTGCCACGCGTTGCTGTGGCCCAGTCTGGTGATCTGGAAAATAAAGCAATGAGAAAGTGTTGGTTTCTAATCTATGTAATGTCTTTATGCTTGTGGGTAAACAGTATTTCTTGCTGCTTCTTTGCCAGTGTTGATGTGGAGAGTGTCTGGTTTGCCTCCTCTGGAATATGCAACATATCATAGTCCTTTTTTAGGGGTCCCTTTCAAATCTATGATACTATTATCTCTGTGTGTGTTTGAATCATATCTATCTATCTATATCTATGGTTGGATGGTTCTGTGTCAGGAGGGCTCTGGCTGCATTTTCTTGCCCTGGTGAAGAGTTGGACTGGATGGCCTTAAGTATTTTCTGTTGGTCATGGTGTTAGAGACCCTAAATTGGGTCTTCTTAGGTCCACATTGCAAGAGCACGAAAGGAAGGAGACAGTCCCAATGAAAGATCAAAAAACAAGGTTTATTTTTAGTTTCTTCATGAAGAAGATGGACAGCCTGGGAGCATACGCAGATGCTACCCTTCAAGTGACTGCCGTGCCCCCTTGGCTTTTGACCACCATTATATAACCTCAAGTAAACAAGAACAATTTTTTGTCATGGAAAGTACTCTCTTTCCAGCCCCCCTCCCTTGACCTTTTGATGGAAAGTACCTTCTTGTACATGCATACTCTGCACTTTACCACAACCTTTGAAGTTAACCACAACACAACATCCTGTGTAAGAAAGTACCCTCTTGTACGTCAAGATGTCACATCTTGTTTCTTAAAAACATTTTCTTCCGTATTGCTCTTTTTCTACAGAGAAAGGGTATATTTCTCTTTTGTTGTTAATTTCATTCAAAGCCCCTTGCTTAGTATTTGCAAATTTCGCTCAAAGACCCTTTCAATGGGGGTCCTGTGTGGGAAATTTGCCCCAATTCTGTCATTTGTGGGATTCAGAATGCTTTTTGATTGTAGGTGAACTATAAATCCCAGTAACTACAAATCCCAAATATCAAGGTCTATTTCCCCAAACTCCATCTGTGTTCATATTTGGGCATATTGAGTATTCCTGTTAAGTGTGGTCCAGATCCACCATTGTTTGAGTCCACAGTGCTCTCTGGATGTAAGTGAACTACAACTCCCAAACTCAAGATCAATGCCCACCAAACCCTTCTAGTGTTTTCTGTTGGTCATGGGAGCCCTGTATGCCACATTTAGTTCAATGCCATAATTGGTGGAGTTCAGAACGCTCTTTGATTGTAGGTGAACTATAAATCCCAGCAACTACAACTCCCAAATGACAAAAATAAAAAAAATTGTGTGAAGGACATACATTGGGTTGTTAGGTCTATGCTGTCCAAATTTGGTGTCAATTGGCCCACTGGTTTTTGAGTTATGTTAATCCCACAAATGAACATTACATTTTTATTTATATAGATAATCATAATGTAAGTATCTGATATGCTGATTAGGTGAATTGCACTATGTAACACTGCAAGTGGCTTCTGGTGTGAGAGAATTGGCCGTCTGCCAGGACATTGCCCAGAGGAAGCCCAGATGTTTGATGTTTTACCATCCTTGTGAGAGGCTTCTCTCATGTCCCCGCATAGGGAGCTGGAGCTGGCAGAAGGAGCTCATCTGCGCTCTCCCCAAGTTTGAACCTTTGACCTGTTTCTCAAGTTGCTCCTGACACAGAATAATAATAATAATAATAATAATAATAATAATAATAATAATAATAATAAAGCTGTAATAAAACCGCTGTTGAAAAAACCATCACTGGACCCCACTCAATTCGTCAACTATCGGCCTGTTTCCAATCTCCCCTTTTTGGGCAAAGTCATGGAACGTGTGGTGGCCTCACAACTCCAGGCATTCTTGGTAGACACGGATTATCTGGATCCGGCACAGTCTGGCTTTAGGCCGGGGCATGGTACCGAGACAGCCTTGGTCGCCTTAGTGGATGATCTGCGCCGGGAGCTCGACAGGGGGAGTGTGTCCCTGTTGGTGCTGCTGGACCTCTCAGCGGCCTTCGATACCGTCGACCACGGTATCCTTCTGGGACGCCTCGCAGGGATGGGTCTTGGAGGTACTGTTCTGCAGTGGCTCCGCTCATTCCTCGAGGGTCGGTCTCAGAAGGTGTTACTGGGAGACTCCTGTTCTACCCCACAACCATTGTCTTGTGGGTTCCTCAGGGTTCAATACTGTCTCCCATGTTGTTTAACATCTACATGAAGCCGCTGGGCGAGATCATCCGGAGTTTCGGAGTGCGATGTCATCTGTACGCAGATGATGTCCAACTCTGTCACTCCTTTCCACCTGCTACTAAGGAGGCTGTCGAGGTCCTGAACCGGTGCTTGGCCGCTGTGACGGTCTGGATGGGGGCGAACAAATTGAAATTGAATCCAGACAAGACAGAGGTACTCCTGGTCAGTCGTAAGGCCGAACAGGGTATAGGGTTACAGCCTGTGTTGGATGGGGTCGCACTCCCCCTGAAGACACAGGTTTGCAGTTTGGGTGTGATCCTGGACTCATCGTTGAGCCTGGAACCCCAGGTTTCGGCGGTGACCAGGGGAGCATTCGCACAGTTAAAACCCGTGCACCAACTGCGCCCGTACCTTGGGAAGTCTGACTTGGCCACGGTAGTCCACGCTCTGGTTACATCCCGTTTAGACTACTGCAACGCTCTCTACGTGGGGTTGCCTTTGAAGACGGCCCGGAAGCTCCAATTAGTCCAACGCTCGGCAGCCATGATACTAACAGGAGCGGAGCGCAGGGAGCATACAACTCCTCTGCTGCACCAGCTCCACTGGCTGCCGATTTGCTACCGGGCTCAATTCAAAGTGCTGGCGCTGGCCTTTAAAGCCCTAAACGGTTCTGGCCCAACTTACCTATCCGAACGTATCTCAGCCTATCAGCCCACCAGGACCCTAAGATCTTCTGGGGGGGCCCTGCTCTCTATCCCGCCTGCTTCACAGGTGCGGCTGGTGGGGACGAGAGACAGGGCCTTTTCTGTGGTGGCCCCGCGGCTATGGAACGCCCTCCCCATGGAGGTAAGATCAGCCCCCTCATTGATGGTATTCCGGAAAAGACTAAAAACCTGGATGTTCGAGCAGGCGTTCGGTTAACTCAGTGCAATAAGTGTAATGATTGAAGGACTGGCAATTTGGACGACGAAACTGGATCGCGATTTTAGTCAAGAGATGAATTGGATTGTTTATTGAGATATGTATTGTGGATTGTGTTTTTATGCTTTTAAACTGTATACTGTTGTTTGTTATAAGTTGTTGTAAACCGCGTTGAGTCGCCGGCTAGGCTGAGAAACGGCGGTATACAAGTATAGCAAATAAATAAATAAAGTAACATGCACTGCATCATATATATTGATCTCTGCTGCCTTTGAAAAATCAATCTTTTTTTCTGTTTAGGTCCCTATTGTGTTATCCTGAAGTGCCTTCAATGACTTTAATGCTGCGTCGAAGCCTAGCTTTGAAATTCCAGAGTCCTTTTGACAATAGCAGACTCTGGCACATGAGCCAAAGCAGGTCACAGATTATTTCCCATGGAGAATTCAAGTGGAAACCTCTTCAAATTGACAGCATGCTTCTAAGAACAGAGAGTAGATACCATGCCAAAGGCAAGGGGCCATCAAGCAAGATGGAACAAAAACATTCATTACTAAAATGCTGAGAGGAGTCCAAACACATGGTTTATGCATAAAGAACTACTTGTCCCCTCCCATTAAACCTCAACATTTTTAATAATTCACATAAGCAACTGGTCACTCTCCTGTTCCACACTTAGTATAGGACTTTGGCACACAGTTGTCTGTATTTTTTGAGGAAAAGCAAAGCTGTAATCTTGACAAAGATTGGGAGTTTTGTTTTATTTTTATTCCTTTATAGCTCAGATGAAAGGAAAGTGGTTTAATTGGCTTCTAAGAATAAGTTAACAAAAAGCATTACAAGGAATACACAACTTTCCACAACTGGGTTTTCCTTAGAGAAATAAGAGGTGGTTGAGATGAGGGGTCTTACAAGGAAGAGAACTGGCAGGGAAGGGATGCTTCGCTTGTATGCTGTTCGTTTTTGTTCTGAAATTGCCCCCTCCCCCTCCAGCTGTTTTTAGGCATAACTCACAACTATGATGAACTCCAAAGACAGCTCAAGTGGAAATAGCCAATGGATGTATCATTTGCAGAACAGACTCTGTGAATGCAAAAGGATTAAGTACTCTTTATTCCTGGTGTTTGTCTGATTCTCTATTACCAAGGGTTCCGCCATCACTATACTCATGTTACATCAGCAAATGTGAGTTTGGGAATTTACATCTACTGAGATACTGGCTTATTTCTGGTTTTTTTCCCTTATCCCTGTTAAGTATACATTAACTTTTTTCATGATAAAGATTCAATACCTAATAATTTTGTTTTTACATTTTTTAAATCTTTCTTAGATGGCTATGTACAGGTGGGTACTGTTATAACTTAATACAAGCCTGCCAGTGCAGTGCTTGAACCACACAAGGAACAAATTGTAGGCACATGTGGTATTATTTTTTTAGGTCATAAGGTTATGCTGCTATCATTTCCCCAAATTTGAAGGTTATTCTAATTGGGGTCTCCTTCCACTCTCTCTCCTGCTACTGTATTCTAATTTCCAGTGTATTCATAGTTTATTTTTCCTTGTTCTAGAATGAAGAGTGTGTTATTAGAGCTTAATAAAAAAAATGTTCGTCCTACAGCTTTATTTGTTCCTTCCATTTTCAATAGTGAGAACATAAGCTATCTGTTAAATGGAGTTTCGTTGAGCATGACATGCAAACTTTTGTTAATCAATTTACTGAAACCATGATTATAAGTATAATCGCATGTAATGTATTATGCCTCATTCACATTAACCTCCCCCTACCCAGTATAGGTGCTGTAACATCCGATTTAAGGCTTATCCAGACATGAAAAAATCCTTGGAATGATTGAGAGTGGAATCACTCTTGTTTTGATTTTAGCTACATATTCTTGTTTGTATTTTTTAATATTCTGGGTTTTCAGTACTGCCTCTCTTGCGTTTTTTTCTTGTCCTCTCATTATGCATCACATCTAGACTCAAGACAACTTCTCAATTATGGTATTATTTAGGAGTCAAAGTGTTTTCGCAATATTTAGGATCATTTTATTTTATTGTTAGGTATCCTCTTTCCCTTTGTTGAATCTGCTGTGAAGAGTTACTGTGTGTCTTTATGGCAATCATCTTCACTGGTTCCAAGATAATAAAAATACATTGCCACGGAGAGATAGGTTTCATTCTGAAAAATACCGTCTTTCACCAATTCTAAAGCACATTTTTCCTGGAGCTCCAAAAATGGGACAGGGTTAACAATCAATGGCACCTTGCATTCAGTGGTGCCTTAGATTCAATGATAAACCAACCTGAAGAATTGGAATAAAATGTCTTTATTTTAAAAAAATAAAGGCCAAAAAATATCAAGAGACCCTCTGTTTTTCTACTGTATCTGCATGTACACTTAGTTTCAATTCATATGATGCTCTCTTCAACTCTCCAATGTGTGCCTCTTTCACACTGGCCTAAATCCGGGAACTAAACATTCTTGTATTAAACATCTGTGAACTTAAAATGCAAAACCCACTTGTCAGTTATAGACATAAAGGGAAAAGATAACCTGTAACAGCGATGTGAAAAGAATAATAATACATTTATTACCCACTTCTCTCTGTAGCTCAGGTTAAATTGTTAAAGAAAGAGATAAAACACTATTAAAAACATACAACAAGATACACAGAGTGAAAATACAAATTAAAATCCACAAATGAAATGCAGATTAAAATTCAAAAGTTAAAATTGACTGGGTGGGCCTGTGGAAGAGATGGGTCTTCAACTGTGTCTACAATTCTGATTTAGCTGTCAAATCTCTTCTGACAGGTCATTCCAGTCTTGAGGAAAGCGATGAAAAGGTCTGGGTGACGGATGTCAGCTGGGTTCTGGGTGGCTGGAGCAAGCATCCATCAGATGACCTCAGTGTCTTAAAGGGCGGGCTGTATAGGAGGAGTCAATCCTGTAGGGAACCTGGACCCAAATCATGTAGGGCTTTCAATACTTTGTAGTTTGCCTGGAAACTAATTGGCAGCCAGCGAATTAGAAGGTCTTCGGGCCATATCTACACACATTCCTACAAGTAGCCAAAGGACCTGCCTGTCTTCATTTCCCCTGAATAAAACAGATTTTTTTTCTCCAGATACCAAACCAATATGTGTTTTATAAGTGCCTACAAGTGTGCATGGCAGATATCAAGATGAACGAAGCCCAGAAACCAACAAAATTAAATTGCTGGCTCCAGCCTTACTGTTATTAAATGTGGTCATGCCGACTTTCAGCTATAAATAAGCTTCCCAAAGCTGCATCTACATGGGTAGAATTAATGCAGTTTGACACCACTTTAACTGCCATGGCTCGGTGCTATAGGATCCCGAGTGTTGTAGATTTAAGAGGTCTTTAGCCTAATGGTGCCAAACTGCATTAAATCTACAGTGTAGATGCACCCCCAACCGTGCGCAAAGCATGGCAGCCTTATAAGCAAAGTATGTGTCCGAGGAAGCGAGGCTGCCTTTTAAAACTAGGATAAACTTATTGAATGAGGCTGGAAACAACAGATTTAATGAAAGTGAACAAAGCTTGACCACAGCCTTCCCTCACAACGTTTATGCAAAAGAGTCCTTTGCTCCCTTCCCTGACCTTCACGTTCTCTGTTCAGCTTCCGGCGCCGGTCAGTGATCTCACGTCAGGATTACAAACTTTAAAGGCGGAAGCTTTCCTCTTCCCGCGAGAGCAGTGGTTCGCCATCTTTGGTCTCTTATAATTTTGGACTTCAACTCCCAGAATTCCAAAGCGCTAGTTATAGGGGCCGGGGCTTCTGGGAAATGAAGTTCGAAAAAGCAGGTGACCCAAAGGTTGAAAGTACAGCTCTGCATTGGCTGTTAGGGCGCTGTTCAAACAAATGGGGTGGAAGCTGGGAGGATCCCGACTTTAGGATGTAACATGATCTCTCATTGGCTGCCAGGAACGGTTGTAAAAGAACAAGCTCCTGATGAATCAAAGTCCACTAGCTGGAGTCGAAGGCGTGTCATGGAGGGGAAGAGGTATTATTACATTCAAGGATATACCTCACCATTCCCCACCCCCAAAGACTGGGACCCAACTTGGAAAGCTATTTTCATAGTTCTTAATTCAATTCCTAAAATAGCCCTTTGGTGCATCTACACCAGAACTGAACAAACTTCAACCCTCTGGGTATTGTCGAAGGCTTTCATGGCCGGAATCACTGGGTTGTTGTAGGTTTTTTCGGGCTATATGGCCATGGTCTAGAGGCATTTCTCCTGACGTTTCGCCTGCATCTATGGCAAGCATCCTCAGAGGTATGCTTGCCATAGATGCAGGCGAAACGTCAGGAGAAATGCCTCTAGACCATGGCCATATAGCCCGAAAAAATCTACAACAACCCTCTGGGTGTTTTGGACTCCAACTACCACCATTCCTAGACCCGTCGCAAACTCTGTTCCTGCAGGAGCAAACCTTGCTAGCATGTCCCTGACGTCATGACACTCCGCCTCTCGCCCCGCCCCTTTCTCCGCCTCTTTCTCCTTGCGAGAGTGGTTTTTCCTTTGCTAGGGCAGCATTGCCAGCATACTCTCTCAGTTGGCAGAATTCAACTGAGAGAAAATGCGGGCAATGCTGCCCTAGCAAAGGAAAAACCACGCTGGCAAAGAGAAAGGGGCGGAGAAAGGGGCAGGGCGAGAGGCGCAGGCTCATGACGTCAGGGACGTGCTAGCAAGGTTTGCTCCCGCAGGAACAGAGTTTGCGACGGCTCTAACAGCCTCAGGCTCTTTTCTTTCCCCCCTCAGCCGCTTAAGCGAAAAGGAAGAGGCCTGAGGGTGTGTTGTCGAAGGTTTTCATGGCCGGAATCACTGGGTTGCTGTAAGTTTTTCGGGCTGTAAGGCCATGTCCCAGAAGCATTCCCTCCTGACGTTTCGCCTGCATCTATGGCAGGCATCCTCAGAGGTTGTGAGGTTTGCTGGAAACTAAGCAAGTGGTGTTTATATATCTGGAATAATGTCCAGGGTGGGAGAAAGAACTCTTGTCTGCATGAGGCATGTGTGAATGTTTCAATTGGCCACCTTGATTAGCATTGAATGGCTTTGCAGCTTCAAAGCCTGCCTGCTTCCTGCAGCTGAACAACAGTCAGAAGACAGGGGAATTCCAGACAAGAAACAATCAGGACCAGTTAACACCTCCCAGCAAAGGATTCCTCCAGGCAGGAATGAGACAGGCTTTGAAGTTGCAAGGCCATTCAATGCTAATCAAGGTTGGAGACAAGTGAGAATCTTTTAGTTGGCCACCTTGATTAGCACTGAATGGCCTAGTAGTTTTAAAGGTGTGACTTCTTACTGCCTGGGGAATCCTTTGTTGAGAGGAGATTAGCTGTCCCTGATTGTTTCTTGTCTGGAGCTCCCCTATTTTTATATACTGTTATGATTTTAGAGTTGTTTTTTTAAATGCTGGCAGCCAGATTTTGTTCATTTTCATGGTTTCTTCCTTTCTGTTGAAATTGTCCGCATGCTTGTGGACATTCACACTTGCCCCCATTAGAGTTCTTTCTCCCACCCTGGACATTATTCCACAGATATATAAACCCCGCGTGCCTAGTTTCCTACAGACCACACAACCTCTGAGGAGACCTGCCATAGATGCAGGCAAAACGTCAGGAGAGAATGCCTCTAGAACAGGGGTCCTCAAACTAAGGCCCAAGAGCTGGATACGGCCCTTGAAGCTCAGGGTCAACCTAAGTCTGAAACGATGAAAGCACACAACAACAATCCTATCTCATCAGCCAAAAGCAGGCCCACACTTCCAATTGAAATACTAACAAGTTTATATTTGTTAAAATCGTTCTTCATTTTAATTATTGTATTGTTTTAAAGTGCTTTTTGCACTACAAATAAGATATATGCAGTGTGCATAGGAATTCATTCATATATATTGTTCAAATTATAATCAGGCCCTACAACAGTTTGAGGAACTGTGACCTGGCCCTCTGTTTAAAAAGTTTGAGGACCCCTGCTCTAGAACATGGCCATACAGCCCGAAAAACTTGCAGCAACCCAGGCCTGAGGATGTTGGGAATTGTGGGAGTCCAAAACACCTGGAGGGTCCAAGTTTGCCTGATCTACACTGTGGAAGGAATGCAGCCTGGCCCCACTTTAACTGCCACGGCTGAATGCTATGATTTGTGAGAGTAATAATAATAATAATAATAATAATAATAATAATAATAATAATAATCTTTATTTATACCCTGCCACCATCTCCCCAAAGGGGAGTATTTTGTTGTGTTTAATTTTCTGCTGTTTTTATCTTATTTTGTTGTATTATTTTTGGGCTTGGTCTCATGTTAACCACCCCAACAAAATACTTAATGTAACAAAATAAAACAGACAGTGCAAAATCTATATAAATAAAAATGTAATGTTTGTTTGTGGGATTAACAGAACTCAAAAACCACTGGACGAATTGACACCAAATTTGGACACAAGACACCTAACAACCCAATGTATGTCCTTCACTAAAAAAAAAAATGATTTTGTCATTTGGGAGTTGTAGTTGCTGGGATTTATAGTTCACCTATAATCAAAGAGCATTCTGAACCCCACCAACGATGGAATTGAACCAAACTTGGCACACACTTCTCCCATGACCAACAGAAAATACTGGAAGGCTTTGGTGGGCAGTGTCCTTTGGTTTTGGAGTTGTAGTTCACCTACATCCAGAGAGCACTTTGAACTCAAACAATGATGGATCTGGATCAAACTCTACACGAATACTCAATATGCCCAAATGTGAACACTGGTGGAGTTTGGGGAAAATAGAATCTTGACATTTGGGAGTTGTAGTTGCCGGGATTTGTAGTTCACTCTGAACCCCACCAACGATAGAATCGGGCTAAACCTCCCACACAGAACCCGCATGACCACCAGAGTGGGCCACAGCAACGCGTGGCAGGGGACGGCTAGTAACGTAATAACATCAAACACAAAGCGCGGGCCAAATGTACAAGACAAAATGTTAAAACCCTGGGTGAGATAGGAAATAGAAAAGTGTATTTGTAAGGGAGGAGTCCGAGAAGGAGGAGCAGTGGGGTGTGCTGGCGTTCCGCCAAACTACAACTCTCAGGAAGCCACAGCATTGAACCGAGGTAGTGGAGGCACCCTCCTTTCTGCAACCTAAGCCGGGCGGAAGCAGGGCACTCCTTGGGACCGGAAGTGCTTGGAATTCGGGGAGCGGGTTGGTGCTCTTCCTGGGTCACGTGGGGCAGCCGCGCCCCTCCCTTTCCCCTCCCTAACCATCTCCCCCTCCCCCTCCCCTGGCCTTCCCCTCCTCCTCCTCCTCCCGCGGAGCCAGCCCGGCGCGGCGGCGGCAGCATGGCGGACACGGCCTCCCACGTCTTGCTGGGCTCCGGCCTCACCGTCCTCTCGCAGCCCCTCATGTACGTGAAGGTGCTGGTCCAGGTGAGGCCTCGTGGCACCCCGGAAGGGTTGGTTGGCGGGAGCCTGAGCGGGAGCAGGGCCGAGGGAGGCCCAAGCAGCCCCTCCCCGGAACAAAGCGCCTGGCCTCCGTTAAGCCTCCCTCACAAGGAGTCTCTAAGGCTGCATCTACACCAGGCCTGGGCGAAGTGGGGCCCTCCAGGGGTTTTGGACTCGAACTCCCACCATTCCTCACAGCCTCAGGCCCCTTCCTTTCCCCCCTCAGCCGCTTAAGCGGCTTAAGCTTAAGCCTGAGGCTGTGAGGAATGGTGGGAGTTCGAGTCCAAAACCCCTGGAGGGCCCCACTTCGCCCAGGCCTGATCAACACTGTAAAATGACTACAGTTTGACCCCGCAATGGACTCCTGAGAGTTGTACTTTGGCGAGGCACCAAAACTCTGGCAGAGAAAGTGAAAGGCCTGTGAAACTAGGTTTCATTTCTCATAGGAAGGCCGCCACCCCTTGTCCCTCCCCTTAGGCCCTTCTTCCAGGCTTTCCTCTTCCAGTATTGGCATGCAGAGAGTCACCAGAAAGCGGCATTCGGTGGCTTCAGACGAGTTCAGTCTAGAAACATGGGTGTCAAGTTCGTAGTCGTGGAATCCTATAACTGGATCAGCCAGTTCGACCCCATTTTTGCCATGAGGAAAAACACAATCAAAGCCCTCCTGACAGATGACCTTCCAGCCTCTGTTTAAAACAGTGGTTCCCAACCTGTGGTCCGTAAGAATAAAAATATGGTCCACGCAGGGGCGGCTCAACCCATTACACAAAGTAAGCATTAGCAGTATAGTTGATTTTGCCCAGGGGTGCTCTTGAGGCGCTCTTGGGGGAAACTAGACCTTGACATGCGAGTTGTAGTTACTGGGATGTATAGATCACCTACAATCAAAGAGCATTCTAAACTCCACCAATGATGGAATTGAACCACAGAACTCCCACGATGAACAGAAAATATATATCAGTGATTGGTTTGGGGGCGGGCGCGCCAAAATACTGTTTGCTTACCATTGAAAATTACCTAGGGCCGCCTCTGGGTCCACGGCTTCACATTACTAAATCATTGCCTTGAAACCATGCGGCAACTAAAGCAACTGGTCTCGCAAAACCCTCTTATAGTGGCAAAGCAATGAGAGGGGAGAGGCTGACTACCCACAAAAGATTACCACTACTACATCAACTCTAGATTATTAAATATGATTTTCTGTGGGCGAGCAGATGGCGACTACTGGATGGCATACGTTCTGTATCAGAAACGAGCTGATGTGGTCTATCCAATGCAATTTTCTGAATCAGCATTCCAAATAACTAAATCAAATCTAAAGTTGACCAAAAACTGATTCGCAACCATTTTGGTACTAATGTTGGAGAGTGGTCCCTGGTCAAAAAAAGGTTGAAAACCACTGGCTTAAAAAGAGAAAATAGATTCCGCTATGCTATGAAGCAGTTGAATAGCTCTTACTTTCAGGAAGTTATAACGTTTAGGTGGAATGTCTTCCCCCTGCAGTTTGAATCCTCCAAGGCAGCAGAAAATGAGCCTATTTCCTGTTCCTTATGACATCCTTTCAAATAAAGATGGCTGTCATCTCCCCTCTCATTCTTCTTTTCTCCAAGATAAACATACCCAGCTTAGAGCTGTGTGTGTCCTTTGCAACCAGGCGCTGTTTTCTCCCCAGGCAGTTCCTATTCAGAGTTCAGCTCTTCCTCAGTTGGATGGAGTGGGAGGGCTTCCCGAATGAGAGGTTTCTGTCCAGTTTTGGTGGATGGCTGGGCAAGGTTCCTTGGGCCCCCTGCAGAGATCCTCCCTGTTGTAAAATTTCCTCTTTGGTTTTGCTCCGGTCAAACACTCAGCCAGCTGCTTGTCGCACTCGCATGCTGCCCGGCCACAGAGGTTGGTTGAGTGACATTCAGTCTCCGAAGTCCTGCAGGAGAGTTTGTAGCGCTTCCACTTGACCCTGCTGTGGCATTTCAAAGCAACCCTGGCATGGCGATAACAGCAGTCGTGCCGGAAGCAGCACTGGTCCGCAGTGTCCAGGGGACTCCCAGAGCCACCGGAGCCACAGTAGCAGCCGTACTTGCTGAGCGCCAGCAGTGGGATTTTCAGGCGGGGCCGGTAACACCACAGGGTCAAAACTAGCTCCAAAACACTGCCTTCACCACTTCCACAGTCTTGGGAGAATAGCACTGCCAATGCTAGCCACAGGGCAGCCCTCATTGCAGACATCAGTGTTGAGACTGACTCTCCCCACTCAGATGTTCATGCAAGTCTGAAATCCCAGACAGTTTAAACCAGAAAAGAAATGTGTGTGTCGCCTATTGAGTTCAGCCCTTTGCCCCTTTTTTAATTGGCAGAGTCTGGGACACTCCCAGTGGTTTTGTGCTCAAACATTTCTTTATTTAGCCTCTCTGGCTAGATGTTATTTTTCAGGACCTGTGGTTTTTTTTATTTGTATTGTCTTTGACTGAAAGGCATAGTTTCACAAAAGCAAAAATGTGTCCGTGCAAGTATTCAACAGCCCATATATTTTTAGTTCAGTTGACTCTTAGGCCCCATCTACACTACTAGATAAAATCCAAATTATCTTCTTTGAACTGGATTATATGGCAGCGTAGATTTGGACAATCCACTTCAAAGCAAATAATCTGGATTTTATCTGGCAGTGTAGAAGGGGCCTAAGTTAGCTAAAACTCAAGCCGCTGAAACTTTCAAGCAACTTAAAAATATATAGAAGAAATAATACTGCATTCACAAATTTGTATTTATAATACAGTAAAACTGTGTTATATTATGTTCTTTATAACTACATTTATCCAGCATCTACCAGTCCCCATGAATGTCAGATAACCGAGAGTTTACTGTATTCATCTTCTAATCACAAATTTAGGCTTGAAAAAGGATATGCAGGCAGTTCCTTAGTTACAAACATCTGACTTACAAACAACTAGTTAAGAATGGGGGTGAGACAGCAATGAGAGAAACGGGAAATTTGCTCCTGGGAAAGTTTTCAAGGGGAAAAGGTGAAGTATTGCATCGATCCACAACAAGTCATTTTTTTTTTCAAAATCTTTTCAAAAAAATCTTTTCAAAAAAATCTTTTCAAAAAAATCTTTTCAAAAAATTATCACAGGGACAGAAAGTGAGGTGAAATGTTCTGAAGAGGGGCACAGACAGCAAAACAAACACCAGCCATATATATGGTGTTGCATTTTAAAAATGTACCTGTTCTGACTTACGTACAAATTCAGCTTAAGAACAAACCTGCAGAACTGATCTTGTTCATAAAACTTCATAATGTGATGCTCTGAATTTCAGATTGTAAAGATTCCTTTTTTAACCTCATCACTCTTGTATTGCTTTTATAAATTCACCACACTGAAGGTTATATTAGAGGGATAACAGTCTCAAAAATAAATATTGCCTACCTCTGTCTGTAAAGCTCATTGCCTCTTATGATGAATCAAAGGTGATACCCGCACAATACCTTCAGTTTATTTTCAGATGTCCTTGTTAATATGCATTACAAACTGGAAAATGTGCTGTTTGGGCTGGATGCTCTCATAAATCAAACAGAGATTTTACATTGTGCAGAACAGTAGTTCCACATTAGAAGACTCAGGCCTAGTTGTTCTAAGGATTATTATCTTAGTAATAACTTCAGAACAACCAAAGGAAAAGTTTCTGCTTTTAAATAAATTATCTGGTTGGAAAAATACTGCTATGGGGATGGGATCAATTTAGAGAAAAAGGAAAATATGCTGGGGTAGATGTTTGGATGCCATATAGCACTACATTATGGCATCTGGTCCTCAGTAAAATCCCTGAACAGCAGAGTGACTATGGGTTGTCAAATACGTCCTTTTGCTAAACAATATCCATTTTGGTGCTTCAAAATTACTATTAGCAGAGAAGCATTGGAATGTAGAACAGAAATGTGTAGTTTCTTTTCTTCACCTTAAGCTTGTTGAACAACTGAATATTTACATTACTAGAGAATCTTAGAATTATACTTTAGGGTACTGTACACTTTGTAGAGGTTGCTGCACACTGTCTTTTAAATTTATAGGTGGGATATGAACCCCTCCCTCCAACCCTGGGAAGAAATATTTTTGGGCGACAGGTCTATCAGCTGCCTGGCCTCTTCGCTTATGGTGAGTGGATAATATATGAGCTTTGCAAATGAACCGGGAAGGGCCTAAAGCAATATTGGATTGCTGTAATTACTAGGCTATGCTTGACAATCTATCCCTTTGAAACAGATCTGGCACGTGTAGAGAACTTGTGCCTTTTGAAGGGTGGCAGTGATATTTATTTACGTGTAAAGAAAGCTGTGAGTATTTGGGTTTGGCATTTAAAAGAAGCCAGAAGTGTAGACATGATGATTGGCTTTTTCAATCTCACTTCCACTAGAAATGAGCAACTAGAAAATACCCTAGAAATGAATAAAAATTGTATAACTTTGTCTCTTCCTATGTCCCATACCTCTTCCAACCACCACAAATGCATGATTTGTCCAATACAAACATGTGCTTGTCCCAACAATGCCAGACACACCTCATCCTTAAGCTTGAGCCTTGATTTATTGTTTATTGTTATTCCTGGTGGCCTTGATTTATTGTTTCTGAATAGTGTTGCACATACTAATATAGCGGTTTTTAGCTTCCAGAAATCCCAACAACTGGTAAACTGGCTGGGATTTCTGGGAATTATAGGCCAAAACACCTGGGGACCCACAGGTTGAAAACCACTGTACTAATAGTCATTCACATTAGCTGTGTGGTTCTTGTTGCGGTCGAATATGGCAAAGGCCAAGGTGCTAGTGATTGCTGACATTATTTCAGTGCAGTTAAGTGTGTTGAGGTTAATGGCATTTAGGTTTACTACATGCCAATATTATGTTGGATGACCTTTGTACTGAAATGTCTAATAGCACTAACTGTAGGAATTCCTGGTGGGGAGCAAAGTGAGTCTGAAGCATTTTCAAGCATTTATGACATGCATAGGTATTATACTATATCTTAAATATTCTGTCTCAAAGCCATCAATTGTAAGGAGAGATTCTTATTTTTATGTTAACTTTATTTCCAGCTAAACATATTATGAAGATTGATGGAAGGGCTGGACTCTTCAAAGGTTTGGCTCCTAGACTCTGCTCTGGGGCCATTGGCACTATAGTACATAGTAAAGTTTTACAGGTACTTTTATCATTCTGTTGTATAACACTGTTATTATTTAAGACTGTATCTTATACATTAAGCCACTTCTCCTCGAATCCTCTAAGTAAGGTTTTACATCTTAATGGGAAACAGGCAGGCTCTTTTATCTGAAGTCATGTTAAACTTTGGGAAGAAGGCTCCTGCTTTTGATAATGTGTTCACCTCTGTTGCCATCAAAACTGCTTGTTTAGTCATAGGCTGCAAATGCCTTCTTGATTATATTTTGCCTTTCCATTGGGCTGCATTTTCTCATTAGAAAGTAGTTAAAATGACAAACTTGAAATTTTGAAAAACCAGTAGATTTTTCTAAAAGTTGGCCTACTTTTCCTGATCTTTTAGTATTTTCAAATAAAGCAACATTTCTAAATACAGCAGTTTTAATATAAGGACATGTCTGTAGACGTAACTCCCATTCCTGTTAGAAGAAACAGACTGGACTGCAACTGTCCTTATAAAATCTGCTTACTTTTAATTTAAAAGTAAAGATTCTTACATAACCCTGAATCAAGGAAAAGCTCTGTATGTGAATAGATACAAGTACAAACATGGATCTGAAATTAGTCTAATATGGAACTCAATCAATGTGTAGTTTCCCAGTGTAGATATCAGAGGCTGCACTTACAGTGAAGTAAATGGTTCACTGGGATGCAAATGGTGCTTTATTGGTCTAGGACCAACCAGGCTCAGCCATAGAAAACCACTGGGGGACCTTGGGAAAAGCAGTGGCTGAATAAACCTTTCCAACACAATTAGGCCTCTCCCATTTGCTGTGATAGGGGCACAGGACCTACTCATTGGAAAGTGAAAAACGAGGAACAAAGAAATTCCTGTTTTTGTACCTAAAAAAAAACCTCACTAGGAATTCCTAGGTCTTCCAGCACAACTCTATGATCAACATCCATTGGATACAATTGCCTTGGAGGACCAGAAGATTTCTAGAGAGGTCTTTACTCTGGACACCTCTAGGTCCTCCAGCATGACTGGAGGAATTTGACCATAGGAACAAACTGGAAGACCCCATCAAGACTGCCATGTAATCCAGTTTCTGAATGCAAATTATCTGCTTTAAACTGGATTATATGGTAGTGTAAACTCATATCCAGTTTAAAACAGATAATCTGCATTCAGAAACTGGATTATATGGTCATTGTAGTTGGGGCCTTAGAGATTCCTAGAAATGTTCTAATCAAATCTGTGAATAAGCAAGTAAGTCAAAACCACAAATTTGGGGGGATGACTGTAAACAGTATGATAGTTTCACAATATGTTGGAGTCAAATTGAAGAAACACCACAGTAAGTGGTGCATTTGTCCTCTAGTAACTAAACTGTTTCAGAGAGTTGCCTTTAAAGAGTGTTTCTGTTGTGGTTGTGTGCAGGATTCATAGCTTTCGTTTTCATTTATGGTGCCATCAGTGTATGTGGTGAGCTTTACAGATGTCATAGTTTAACTTTTCATAGAATCATAAGAAAAATACTGTTTTAGGTAGCTAATATGAAAGACAATAGAGTAAGTGTGGTAAGCCTTGGGAGTGAAGAATGAATGCAGTACAGTTAGGAATAAGGATTCAGATGATGATACATACTCTTGTCTTTTCCTTCTCTCTAGCATTGCCAGGAAGCTGACCAAACAGAGGTATGTTGGCTCTATATTTGACTTCTTTCTCCCTTGCCCTGCAAATTAGTTACTGTTTTCTATGGCTGGTGGGAGATCTGTGGTCTTTAATGCCCTATGTATGAAGTAGTGCAGTGGGTCCTGTGGAAACTAGGAGCATCTGCAGAATATATTTGAACCCAAAGTAAGAATACTGGAATAACCAGGTGCTTTGTGGCACCACCCTGTGGCTTCTGAGGTGGGATTTTTTAAATGTTTTTTCTCACTCTCCAGGAATCAGGAACCAATCCAAAGGAATCGGTGTCTTCTCTGGATCAAGTTATTAAGGAGGTAAAATGATTTGTCATGAAACAATCTGGATGTGAATGAATTAGATTTTCAGGCTCTGAAGACCAGAAAATCACAGATAGCAGTCTGTTCACTGGCCCTCATGAAGCTAAGAGGCTCATTTAGCATAATTAAGCATTCTTTAGGGTAAATATTTGAGACCT